ACTAGACAATACTTGTAAAGCATTGAACAACAGAGGTCAGGATTCTAGAAACTAGACAATACTTGTAATGCATTCAAAGAATAAAATCTAGTTTTTAATCTGATTTTTTTTTAATCTGAGTTAAGCTGACACATCTTTGTAAAACAGGAGTCTCAACAAATCAGGTATATAGCAGCACACTTAAGGAAGATGTATGTTACAGCAGATTCTGTTCATAGCTCGCTAATTTGAAAAGTTAATGGAGATAATAAAATTACTTGATGCATGTAATCAAGGGTTCTAAAAATAAAGATACTCCATTAAAGTTTCCACTGGTTAGTGACACAATGAGATCAATGTTATCACCCAAAAATCTAGGTGTGTCCTTGTGTGTGGACAAAAATATAATTAGCCTAGAGACTCTGGTCAGGAAGACCATATATATATCTGTAAAGATGACTGACCTTCAAAATGCTTGACTGACCATCTGTGATTGGAGTCCACAACACGTTAGATACAAGTGTGGCCAACAGGAGCATCGCTATGACAACTGTGTGGCACACAGGAGCATCGCTATGACAACTGTGTGGCCAACAGGAGCATCGCTATGACAACTGTGAAGATGGCTTATAGTTTCCACTTCTGACACTGTAACAGTCTTATCCTTGAGATTAATATCTAGACTGTCACATTCACACACTTTCTGTTCATTAGGCCCAGCTGTTGGACCAGAAGTCAGGATGCCAGATTGTTGTCAAGATATTAATATAATTTATTCTGTTAAATTAGAGCATTTAATTTCCCTTCCAGAATCCCATATTTATTTCAACTTCAATGTTGATGGTGATTGTTATAAAGGTTTTTAATTCAGGTTTTCTGGTTGTGTTTGTTTCAATTTCTTTTTATTAAACCAAAGTTTTTGCTGTTCCTGTTGTAGGGGAGATACTTAATGTTGTATTGAAGGAAGCAGATGATATTTTGTCTGTCTTGATCAGACAGCACTGATATCACCCTGGTTCTGTATATAGGATCCCAAATCTGTTGATGATCAAGATGTACCAGCCTTAATTATAGCTTAATCACACATAATAGTATTACTGATTGAGTGATATAATCATTAAAACTGAAACTAAAACAAGATTTGTTCTTGGATCCAAAAATATCATCATTAGATGAATGAACGTAATAAAACTCATCTTTTTGATTGGGTAGAGAAAATTTAATTACAACATTTTGATTAGTGGTATTTTAGGATGGAAACAGGAAGGTTCGCCAATCTTCCATTAACCTTGCTGATATAAATCTATTATTTTTTAAATATTTACTACTGATCTACCACTGCACACGCTAAGCTATGGGAGTATACTATGACAAATAAAAAATCCAATATTCCATCAGACTGGACATTGCACACCAAATTTCCCATCGATGTTTCTCTATTTTATTAATGTTACAGATAGCTATCCTATTTCCAGCAACCATCGGAGGACCAGAGTGTGACAGGGGCCCCTCAATCAATCAGAGTCACTAAACCGTTTACAGTAACCAAGACATTACATACACACAGGCAAGTGCCTACATGACCAGACACAGAACACTTCTAACGGGTAACATGAAAGGACAAGATATTTTACAGTTTATATATCTCACTGGTAAGGGAGGAAAGGTCGGGAAATGACATTAAGAATACCAGACCACAAATAATTCTGTTTATCCCAAATTTAGATTGGACAGCCAACTATATCTGATCCTTTTTCGTGAATCAGCTGTGTATATCTGATCCTTTTTCGTGAATCAGCTGTGAAATGTACTATGTCCAGGGATGACTTGGTTATGCTTCAGTCTCGTAACATACATTATATATATATTATAGTACTGTGACACCCTCTACACCCTCTATAGGAGGCACGGAAGCCTAGTGGTAGGACGCCGGGCTCGTGACTGATGGTTTGAGAGTTCGAGTCGCGGCACGAAGATAGTGTTGTATCTTTGAGCAAGATACTTAACTCCGTTTGTTCCAGTATACTCAGCTGTAAATGAGTATGTGGTTGGGCAGTGCTAGAATTGTAGAATGCTAGCTGTGAGAGTCGAAATGGCAGCACCGGCTGTATGCTCCTCAGGGTGTTGAGAAAGGTATTGGTTGGTTGCAAAGACCCTATAACCACGGATAATAAATAATTTGTGAACCGCTTTGAGACGACCTACGAACTAGGTTGTGATAAAGCGGCATATAAGAACCTTGAATTATTATTATAATTATTATTATTACTGCTACACCTTCCCAAAAATGAAAAGGTTATCTTTGCTACTTTTAGATTTTGAAGAAAATATTTTATTTGCTTTTAGACCTCAGTTCTGAAGGGGGCCAGTTTCTTACTTTGAGAAATCAGAAACATCAGGTGTCCTTGATGTTTTAGGCAAATTTAGTCAAAATCTTTTCATTACTTTTGGAGAAGACCTTTCGTCTTATTCCCTATATAACTTCAGGCGAACTTTGACCCCTTGGCTTTATATTGGGTCCGGGGGAGATGGTGTCACTAACTCAGTATGACAAAGCTGTACACCTACACTTTCAAAATAGAAATGGTCAAGCTCTGCTATTCTAGATCTTGAACTTAAACAAGAGGCCCAGAGGGCCTGTGTCGCTCACCTGGATATCAAAGCAATCATGGCAAAATATTCTCCAAATGAGATCTAAGGGATTATGCCAGACCTCAAGGCCAATCCTTGTAGCATATCTGTATTTGATTTCTTATGCCCAGCAATTTTATGTATGGTTATGGGGTGGGGATCTCAACAGTTTCCAAGCTGTGACTCAGAAACTAGGTCCCTAGAGTTGTGGCCAGACCCCAGGATAAATTCTTATATCATGACTGCATTTGTCTCTTTTTGCCCAGCATTTGTATATATAGTTTTGGGATGGGGATCTCAACCGTTTCAAAGTTATGACCCAAGGGTTAAGTCTGCAAGGGTGGGGCAGACCCTTGGGTCAATTCTAATATCATGACTGCATTCGTCTCTTTATGCCCAACAATTGTATATATAGTTTTGGGGTGGGGATCTTAACCGTTTCAAAGTTATGACCCAGGGGTTAAGTCT